GGGGGAGGCGGGAGCCCAGCCACGATTTTTCCAGCGAGAGGATGGTTGGAGGAGGGGGTATTGTGTGGATCAGGATACATCCCTACCTGTCTCAAATGGTTTGCAAAAGACATGCAAATCATTACGCAAATGCCCAGAGCCCTCTTAGACCCTGAGGCTCAGGGACTCTACGCTTAGGTGACAGAAGACACGAAGGTATCCCCAGGTTCTCGTGCTCCCACCAGGGACCCCATGCACACCCTCTCCAGGCCTCCTTGGGAGGGCGGTGCCCGTCACAGGGACAGTGTGTGAGTCAGTGCCTTAGGTGCTATGTGATGAATCCTTTGTAATACATGGCATGCCCCTAAGTCCTCTCCTATTTGACCCTTGGCAGCTCCACCTGGGCACTTCAACAGGTTTAATGACCCCAAATGTCCTGAGCCACAGCATCAATGGGCTTGCCTAAGGTCAAGAGCCCGGCTGCCAGAACCGGCCTGGAGCCCAGGGGCCCTGACTTGAGTCCGGTGCTGTTTAGTCTGCATTTCCCTGATTAAAATATTGCACATGCAGAACGGTGCAGGGCTGGAGAGGCAAGGGACATCAGGAGAGGGGACTCTCAGCCCCCCTTCCACACGTGGCAGGATTCTCACTGGAAGGACATCTGAGGGGTCGCAGGGCTGGGTGGATGGAACATCCTCTTCGGGTGATCACGATGTGTTCCCAGGTACGACGTCCGGCTGAGAGCTCCTCATTCATTCTTTTCCTCACAAATGCTTACCGAGGACCTACTATGCGCCGGGCCTTGTTCAATGCAGCTTATATTCAGCTGCAGGCAGACAAGTATCGGCTGTGCTAAGGGCCATGACAAACAGAAGGCAGGCGGGCTGAGACCAGGCTCTCTGGGGAAGGGCGTCGGAGCCCAGGCCCCTCATGTGGCTTGAGCCAGCCTTTCAAGAGCTGAGGGGAGAGCCTTGCGTCTGTCAGGGGCACAAGAGTCACGTGGCCCAACATGGCAGGGGCTCGACACAACACAGCAGGGGCCACAGGGCAGGGGAGCGACACGGCAGGGGCGAGACAGGGCAGAGGTTCAAGAGCAGAAAAGGCTCCGTTTGAAAACCAGGAAGGAGGTGGGCCTGGCTGGAGCAAGGCTGCTGAGGGCAGAGGGACAGGATGAGTTTGGAAAGGAAAGGAGGCAGGAACCCAGGCAGGGCCTCGGAGGGTTTTTTAGGCAGCCTTTATGCTATCCCCAAACTTGTGGATTAAGTGTTGTTTCTTCGTTAAATGGATTGAAATAGCACAGCATGTATTGTGCAGTAGCTCCTAGCCGATGGAATCTTAAATGGAAGGAAGAGCCGCTCGGTGGGTAGGAGCTTAGTGTTGGGAGGAGGAGAATTCAGAGAGCAAACCCAGCACTGCCTGTGGGCGCCTGTGAGACACGGGAATTCACCCCACCTCTGGGGTCACGAATGTTACTGTGGTGGTTGATTTGCCAACTTGGGCTCTCTCGAATCCAGTCACCCCCATTCAGAACTCTTTTGGGGGGTCCTCAAAGGTGTGTACTCTTGGAAGACAGAGCTTTCCTGGCATTACTGATGCTTAACAGACAAGATCTTTCTTTTTCCAGTCGCATGGCGGGTCTTGATGTAAACTCAGCAAATCCAGATCGCGCGACTCTCGGGCATGGAGCAGCAGAGGTGGCCTGCGGAACAGCCCTCCTGCCGCCTGGCCTCCGGGGTCCACAGCCTTGCGTTCCAGCCTCTGACCATCACTACGAGGCCCAATGGCCTCCTGAGTCGCAACCGTTATCAGTTGAGCGGAAGCGCTCGATGTCTTTCCAATGAACCGCTCCTCTTGAACAGCGGGATGGCTTCGGTTGCTTGCAGCCAAGGAGGCTGCGAGATGAAAGGGGCCCTGTGTCCGCTGCTGCGGGGCTGAGCGAAGATGGCTCTTGTACAGCAGCACCGCACTGAATGCCTGGCTCAGTACATGTCAGCTCTCGAGATTATTACAGACTCAGATGGCCGCCATAAAGGACGGTCGGGTTCAACACAAGGTGGTGATTGACCAAAAAGGGTTCACAGACTCCTCGCTGCCGAGCTGGCAGCTTGCCCTCCGCGCAGGCCCTGGCTGCCCGGGTCTCCCGCTCGCCACGTTCACCAGGAGTTGGCATCACCGGGTGAACACAACAGAACGAAGGCACAGGCCCCCCAAAATCACACCAAACAAACAAGCGCACTGAGTGATCATCTTGGCGGCAAATTCTCCTCTGTAAGCGCGGTTTGCTGGACCCAACATGCAAGTCACTTTATGTCCAGAGACACAAGCCAAGCGGTGGCATCAGGAAGACAAAGCAGTGAAGGGACAGGGGCTCAGGGGCAGGGGTCCACGGCCAGCTCTGGAGCTCGGGCAGCCACCTTGGGGACCTGTCCCGCCGGCACCCCGCCTGGCCGCTCCACTGCCGAGCTCACTGTGAGGGGTGCGCCCGCTTCCAGGGAGATGGTGAGGCCTGCGGCTGCTCTTTGTAATTTGGTACATTTCGGACACCAAGTGACCACTGCCATCAACATCACCACCACCAGCGTCTTTTTCTCCTTTCTAACGTGCACTCTCGGTAGAGCCCAGGGATGGACTTCACGTTTTGCACCATTAGTGCACTTCATCCTTACAGCCGCCCTGTCAGGTCAGGCACTACCACTGTCTTGAATAAACTGATGCTTAGAGAGCCTGAGTGACGTGTCCAAGGTCATGAAGCTAACCAGTGCCCCGCAGGTTTGGCCAGGAGCTTAACTGCTCAGTTCTGCCCTGGCCAGCACCCCAGGAAATCCCTCTCCCCGCACACACAGGCTCACGCACACGCGACTTGCATCTCAGCCTTGCTCTGAGCAGACTTTGCTCTGTGGCCTTCACAGCCACAGCGCCCAACATTTGCTAACACACCTTCGTGTTTTTATTTGGAAGATGAGTTTTATGCCCAGGCTGGGGCTGGCGTCGGATCCCACCTCTTCTACATTATAAACTCTAATGTACATGCCATAAAAATGTCCCTTCGGTGCTTATGGAAATATATTGATCCGGCCATTTAATCCCACACGCGAAGTCAGAGGGTTGGATACACACGCTTTTCTGCGAGTGTGGCCTCCAGGCTTCTGGGCTTGTAAATCTCCCCTCGTACACCCGTGCTGGGGGTTGGGGGGCAGTAAGGAAAGGATTATTTATGAATGGGATTCTCAGGCGTTCTGCCCCTGATTAATTGCTTTCGGTCCTATTTAATGGAGGTCCAATGAGTCAATGGCGGGAAAATGAATCATAGCCACGCCAGGTCCATGAGGAGCAGACATCAGCAGAGGCTCGCGTCTTCCCGCACGGTCACTGTAGGGACAGGCCTGGGTTGTCTCTGTGGGGCACAGAAAGGTGACATAAAGGGGAGGAGCCATGAGGACAGTTATGTACATGGTCACCCTGGGGGTGGCCGGAGCCCCCAGCATCACAGGGCTGGGGCTGCACCGTGGCCCTGACTTCTTCATTCCTCTTCCCTAGCTCCAGAGAGGCGGGAGCCCAGCCGATCAATAAGACTCGGGGACAGGGGTCTGCAGCTCAGCCATTTCTCAGGCCCGACACTGGGGCACCTCTCACTAGTAGGGGCAGCCAGAGACGGAACCGAGGCTCATCCCACTGCACGCCTGTGTGCTGTGTGCCCCCCTCTCATGAACAACCCCCCACAAGCTGGCAGCAAAGAAACCATTTCCAGGAGGCAGCATGCTGCCCGCCGGCCACCTGCCCGCCCCCTTCCCAATCGACATGTGCTTGTCACTGGGAAGATCTTCCCAGGCTCGCTGGTGCTGGCCCGGCCACCTCCCAGGACCCCACATTTGATTGCTGGGTGTTGCTGAGAGAGCAGATGTCACGGGGATGCTGCTGAGGGGCTGTGGTAACTCCCGGCTCCAGGGGGGTGTGGCGGAGACCCACCTGCTGTCAATCACGTTGCTCCAGGGAGGCCACACACATTAGCCTTCCTCATTTTTTGGAGAGGAAAAGGCATTATTCTGGCAATTTTACCTGTGAATATTCTACCGTCTCTAACCTGACACTGGAGTACAAGAGCCTCATTAGGTTGATTTCCTAACTTTTGAGGCTCAAAGCCCCTTAATGCTATGGGTTCAAGCTGAGGCCGGGGAGAGCTCCCCTGCCATTCTCCACCCCCCCACACACACCCTCCAGTAAGGACATCGTGGTGGGCGAGTCTGTTTCCCCGTCAACCCATGCAAGGAGGGAGGGAGCACAGGGCCCAGGTGGGTGCTGTGCCACCTGCTTCACCACTAGACCCCAGAGCCCTTGGCCACGACTCGCCCTGCCCTGACCGAGACCAGGATCCACCCGGGATGTGGACGCAGCATCCAAACTTGTTGTTTTTTATTTCAAAGGAAGGAGAAGAAGAGGAGAGGAGAGGAGAAAGCGTGTTAGGAAACCAGTATGCAGCCCAAACTTGATTACGCTCACTGACGTGTGAGAAGCACTAAGCTATGGCTGTTCCTAACCTTGTTCACAGAGACAACTGTAGCATCTGTGTGCCTCGGAGGCAACAGCCCTGGGGGGCTCTGGCTGCCCCGTCCCATCCCACTGCCCCGAGCACCGGGGGAACTAATAGCTCACAGCACCCCCCTCCCCCCCGGTGGCCACACTGGCTGGGAGGTTCTGCACTACTCCAGGGCTGTTCAAACTGTGGCCCTCGGACTGGACCCACCTGTGAACTGCTTATCAGTCTGCAACACCATAGCGAGAGAAAATGAGAGTCAGCATCTAGAAGCTACCAGGGCTGTTTGCCAGGATAATTTGAAGTTTGCTGACTCTGTAACACGATTTGGAGCTTAGATGTTGTGTGACTTGGTTTTCTATTCCATTTTCTCTAGTAATATATATTTATTGCATCCTACAAAGGTATTGGACCATGACCGACTGGGAGAGGGGGGATAAGACGGTCCTTTTACGGCATTGCAACATGATCGTCCGGTCAGTAACCCAGGAGTCAGTTTGGGGTTCTGAGTCGCGTTAGTCCAGCCGCAGACCCTGAACTCCGCCTGGATGTGCCTGGCATGGGGGCTGTGACCTTCTCTTTCGCCACCTACAGGGCCTCTAATTCTGAAACTAGGTTAGTACCTGGCACTGAAAGGACTTTTTGTTTCTGGGTAGAATGATGGAAACATAAAGAAAACCGTGGAAACACAGGAAAACCTTATGTGTTTTCCAGGGTCAATGTAGGTGGCTCCACGCCAATCCCAGGCCCACTCTCACCCAAGCCAATACTTATCCCAATGTGATCAAATGTGATCAAGCCTCTGAGAACTTTTAGGGTTCAGGCATCTAGATATAACAGTAGCAATTTCCATTTTCTTTAAATTCCTATCTATAACATCCGTTTCCAGCATTTTTTGAAATGAGGAACCTAATTTTTCAACCTTGTTGAGAGGTAATTGAAGTAAACTGATCTCCTATATGTCAAGTGTTCAATGAGCTCAGCTTTGAACTATGTGTATATAACTTAAAACCATCATTACAATCAAGATAACAAACATTTCTGTTACCCCCAAAGGTTTCCTGTGCCTCTTAACGATCACTCCTTCCCTCCCCCCTCTGTCCACAGACAATCATTAGATCACTAATGTGCTTTCTGTCACTCTAGAATAGTTTGCATTTTCTAGGGTTTTATACAGGGTGGGGCAAAAGTAGGCTCATGGCTGTTGGTCCAGGCGCAGACCCTGAACTCCATCTGGATGTGCCTGTCAGGGGGGCTGTGACCTTCTCTTTATTTGTTCGTATGGAAAATAATACAATAATAAATAATAATGTAAGAATAAACTCTGTGATTTGTGTACTCACAACTATAAACCTACTTTTGCCCACCTTGTATACATGGAATGAAAACAAAATATACTTTTGGTTCTGGCTTCTTTCACTCAGTGTAGTACTTTAAGATTCATCCACATCATTGCAAGAATCAGTAGTTTGTTCCTTTTTTAGGGCTGAGTAGTATTCCAGTGCCAGGACCATCCACACTGTGCTTTATCCATTTGATTGAGAAAACCAGTTTTTAAAAGAGGAAAATTGATTTCCCTCACCCCCCCGAAAGTATCACAACAAGGTGGGATGGAGGAAGGGAAGAGATAAAAACAGAGCAAATTCACTCAAACCTGTTCCTTCCTTGGCACCTTTGCGCATGCCCTTTCCTCAGCCTGGAGTGCTCATGTCCCCAAATCTTGGCAGGGCCGATGCCTCGTCACTCACATCTTGGAGGTCACCTCCGCAGAGGCCTACCCTCACCCCACTAATATTCCTTCCTGTGCCTCCATCCAAGTCACTCTCCATCAATTCACAGTTTTAACTTCCCTAAAGTGCCCACCATTCCTGAATTTATTGAACTTTTTGTTATGTATATGTCTTTCACCAGAAAACCAAGGATCTTGTCTGTCTCGTTCACCATTATAACCTTCACACCTAAAATATGGACTGGCACAGAGCAGGTGCTCAATAAATGTTGGTAAATAGATGTGTAAGTGAATGGATTAAGGAGAACGTGAAGGGTCACTGTAGGTTGAACTGTATTTTGTAAAGTTATAAAACCTTTGGTTTTGAAAAATCTCAGAACTCCATGATCTAGTGAGAGCATTTGGGAGGCCACCCATCAACACTGGGGGCTACTCCAAGATCAACTCAGAAGCCAGGAGGAGAACAGGCAGAGCCGCCAAGACTTGGAAACCTGTTTAATGTGATGGAGAGAAACCAGCCTGGGCTCTCCCCACTGCCCCGGCTGCTCCCGAGCTCCTACAAATCATTTGAAATGCTACATCATGTTTAAATCCCCCTGATTGTGACCACCGGGAACGATGAAGGACACTCATGCATAATTTACATACTGCCAGGCTCCTAAGAGCCTCTAAACGAAGCCCCCGGAGGCCCTTGGGCACTATTTTTGAGGGGAAGGACACCAAGTGACAGATTAACTCGAGTCTGCTCCCTCCGCACGTGGGGAAAGAAGCCTCACCCTCCACTCGCTGACATCTGCAAACATCTTCTTTCCCCAGTGAGAATGTGGAGAGCAACTTTATTTATAATAACCAGAGCCTGGAAACAATACACCTGTCCGTCCGTGGGTGAGTGGATAGTCTGACTGCAGAACAGGCACACGATTCAATATTCCACAGCAATAAAGAGCGAACACCTCAAACGGCATGTGCTGTCAGCGGCTCCCGAGGAAGCCTTTCTCACATCCAGAGCCGCACGTGTGCGGCTTCCCTGTGCACAGCTCCTCTGCCGACAGGTATTGTTGCTCAGACTTACATTCTTTTTCCAGATTCTGACCATAAAAAGTGTTTTAATCTCAAAGCTCAAGGCT